GAACTTTCTGTAAAAGAAGAATCTTATTTCAAAAATAAAATTGATAATTTACAACCGTCTTCTTTTACATTCAAGGGCTGTGAAATTAAGATACAGCATTCTTTACAGTTGACTATGGTTGATGGTAAAGTATGTGGTGCTCTTAGTGACTTGTCCTGTAGTATGTGCTATATTTGTCAATCAATAAACTAGCTTTTAAAGATTATGCCTTAGAGACTGCGCGCAAACTTGTTTCAACATATCCCTGGTATAACTTGCCTTCTTCTATTCATAAAGTACTAATTCATGGATCGGAAGTTATTGATCATTGCTTAATATCTATCGGTGAGCTCTCCGAAGAGGCCGCTGAATCGTGTAATAAATTATATAAACAATTTAGGCGTGACAACACGAGAAAAACGTCTCGAGTTGACACTAACACCGACCTCATGCACAGACTTCTTCTTAATTCTGATCCATATATTTCCAGTTTACGGAAATTGCCACAAAAGAAGAAGTCTGTTCTATCAAAAGACGTGTTAATGTTATTATGTGTTTAAGTATAAGTTGTAATGTTTAGAATTAAGGTAGAACTAATTACTTTAGATATTTTTTAGCGATAATCTATTTTAATGTGTACATTTTTTTTTTTTTTTTTTTTTTATTGCGACTCGACAAAATGACTGCACCGCGCCTGATGGAAAGTGCGAATACAGTCCAGAGATGAGAGTAACGGATGGAAAACACAAATATCTTCACTCCGTCACTATCATTTTGCCGGTCTGGCCAAATGCACTGGATGTACACCAACTGATCCCTGAACGCGATTCGCAAAAGCGTTTCACTGTGGAGGGTTTTCCGCCGTGTGTACTGTGGTCGCTATCCAGTCGGCACAGAGCCTACCACAATGCTAAGCAGATGGACACTTGTGACGCCCTCGGTCGCCTCTTACGACCCCCACGGGCATGTATGGGGAGGCGACAATGTATTCTTAAGCCGTCGCCCCACGGCTAAAACATACCTTTATATTATATTTGTAATTGTAGGTTAATTAGATGTCTATTTAATATTTAACATTATTGTTCTTCTTATTATATTAATGTAATTGAGATTACTAGCTGTTGCAATTTAATCGTTGTTCATGAAAATTTATTTTTTGAAATGAACATTTTTTTTACTAAATATATTGTTATTATTTTATCAAAATCCACTTATTTTATTTCTATGTACCTCAATTCATCATTATATAGCATAATTATATGCATTAACATGCATTTCAATAACATTTAGCTGCGCGAAAGCCCTATGACCGCCCTTCTTAGAGAGCTGAACCACTGTGCATAGTACAAGACCGTAGCTGAGCACGGACGAAACGTAGCCGTGATAGGCCGTCAACGCAGCTTCTCGCGAGACAGTTTGTCTTAGTCTTCGTAAAGCGTAAACAAATCTGTTTAGGTTCATGCACATCTGTTCGATGTGTTCCTTCCAGTTAAGGTTCTTGTCGATTGTTAACCCAAGAAAGTTAAATATGTCTACTTCATCTACTGTATCAGAGTTGTAATTAATTTTAACCGGTATAGGATTTCAGTTGTAAGATCTAAATGTCATAACCTTGGTTTTACTTATATTAATATTCAAGTCATAGATGTCCATCCAACTGATTACGTCTGTCAGTGCTTTATTTACGTCAGTGTTAAAAGTCGCTTTGTTTTGGCATTTTATTATAAGAGTTGTATGGTCAGCAAATTGTATACAATTATGATCAATAGCATGTGGGAGATCGTTAATGTAGAGTAGGAACAGTAACGGACCCAAGACGCTACCTTGCGGTATTCCAGCATTAGTCGTCTTAAGGTGTGATCTAAAAATTTGTTTTTCTATTTTATTATTGTGTTTGTTTTTTGTTATCTACTTATTTCAGTATACTGTGTCCGATTTTTTAAGTAGCTGGCTATACAATTTTGGGCTGTTCCTCTAATACCGTATGCTTGTAAACGAATTTTGAGTGATTTACAAAGTCGAAGGTTTTAATCATATCTAGAAAGACTGACATTACAGTAGTAGAGACGTTTATCCTTTCCGTTACAATGCGCAAAAACTCAAAACATGCAAGAGTTGTAGAACTACCTTTTCTAAATCCGAATTGAGAGTGATATATTACTTTATGTTTCTCTAAAAATGCATTTATTCTGGAATGCAGAGCCCTTTCAAATAATTTGAATAGAGTCGGGATTAAAGTAATTGGTCTATAGTTACTTGGGCTTTCCTTATCGCCTTTTTTATATAGGGGTTTGACAACAGAAGTTTTAAGCTGTTCTGGAAAAAGACCATCACTAAACAATAAATTTATAATATGTGCAAGCGGATGACAGATATAAGAGGCACATATTTTAAGTATTTTAGTTGTTATACCGTCATAGCCACTGGATTTGGTGTTTTTTAAAGACATAATTATGTTATAAGTTTCCTTCTCATTTATCGGTTCCAAAAATATTGTATGGGAATTTTTATTCAATGAATTAGATGGATATATCTTGCAGTTTATAGTCAAGTTAAGTTGGGTTAGGTTATTTTTGTTTGTCAAATCTATAAAATAATTGTTAAAAATATTACAAATATCATCTGGGTTTGAGTATGTTATATAATAATAATAATAACGCACACACTCAACATAGCCCCGCACTAGGGAAACCCTGTGTCGCGGGTGCTATGGACACACACATAGACAACCACAAATTACACCCAAACTCACGAGAGAAATAATTGTAGGCCATACAACTATTTCTCTCGGCCCGGGAATCGAACCTGGGACCTCTGCGTGGCAGTCCGGCATGGTAACCATTCGGCCACGGAGGCAGTTGTATATTGTTATGTCGTATATGTTTTATGTCATTTTTACAGGTATTGTTAGTAATTGTAGATGAAATGGTATTCCATGTTGCTTTACATTTGTTTTTATTATTGTGGATATAAAGATTATTATTGATTTTCTGAGATTTTAAGATACATTTTCTTAGGATACTATTATACATTTTAAATTTATTTGTATTTAACTGTTTATTAATATTTGATGCTCTGTATTTCAAATATAGTAATCGTTTTGTTTTGCAGCATTTTTTAAGTCCTTTTGTTAGCCAGAGCAGCTTTTTTGGCCTATTGTTAATTTTAACTCTGAGAATTGGAAAACATAGGTCATAAAATAGACGTATTAAATCATAAAAGTTGTTGAAAGCCTGAATTACATTGTCTAAGCCTAAGATATCAGAAAAGGAAAGAGCAGAAACGCATTCACAGAACTTCTGAATATTTTCATTTCTATAGTCTCGCCTGTTCGTACCAAGTGGTGATAGCTTTTTGCCTCCCTATGCTCAAAGTCAACGTTTGTGCAGTTTCGTGGTCAGAAGCAGCCAGAATGTGAACGCCTGCTTTTACTAATTTTATGTTACTGGCGATTAAGTCGATACACGAGTTTAACCTAGTTGGTGATTTTATGTGAATATTAAAGTTATACATAGGAAATGAAACTATTTTTCCGGATTTAAATCGCGTATATTTGTTTTTTCAAACAAATCGACGTTTCGGGCCCTTTACAGGTCCCATGGTCACGGTTGACTGAGGTGGTACAGTCTTCAACCAGTTATGTCTAATATTATTGCAAACCACCCTATTTTTTCACTATAGTTACAATATTTATTAATTATTATATACCTTATTTTTAATTTTACAAAGAAAACATTCCAATTTACGCTACATTAAGTTTTACAAATTATTTTATTGAATTAATTTTTATTAAGTTTAATTTATTATTATTTATTAATAGAAATTAGAATAAACTAAAACATATTAATAAGTACTGCAGTCTTATGTCTGTTTGGGATTTTTCATTAGAGGAAATACTGGATCCCAAACTGGTGGTACGGAGAAACCATCTTCCCTGTTGAAATTAGGATGTTTTTTCAATTCAATGGCCTCTCGCAGCATCCTGCGTAGATAACGGACTTCTTTTGCAAAGACCTGGAGTGTGCCAAACTTCATTGAATGTGTAGGTTTATCCATGACATGCTCGCAGACTGCAGACTTGTTTATGCGACGGTGTTTGACATCACCTATATGTTCTTTGACGCGGGTAGAAATACTTTGCTTTGTTTGTCCAATATAAGAGAGACTATATACATTATATAAAAACTTATTCTATATATATATATTATAATATATATTATATTATTATAACATCATTATCATCACCATCACCATCATCATCATCATCGGATTTTTTTTAGTGCACCTTAATGGGTGTCGATAAAAGCAGTGTGGGCCGCATTGGCAACACACTACCTGTCTATTGCTTGCTAAGGCGGCGACGTACAATTGATGTCGTCCGGATTATAACGGCCTTTTGAATTTTGTATACAAGGGTTGTCGGAAGGTTCAGCTTAGCTAAACTCTCCAACAGGCTCCTTGGAACAACGCCAGCGGTGGACAAAATGAGGGGCGCCACATAGACCTCTCGCTGCTGCCAGATCTGCCGAATCTCTTCGGCTAGTTGTTCGTACTTTTTCAGCTTTTCTTCGGTGTATCCCTTCAGGTTGTACGTGTTGGGTATACCGATATCTAGCAGCCATGTCATGCCCCTCGTTCTTTCCACATGTATAATATCAGGTCTATTATGTGGAATATGCCTATCCGTTGGACTGATCTGTCCCAACAGCTGATGAGTGCCATTGTCTAATACTGACTTGGGTTGATAGAGCCAGTAAGGTACACGGTTTTCATTGAGCAGACCAAATTTCAGTGCCAGAGCTTGGTGGATAATTTTAGCTACATTGTTATGACGCCCTGTGTAATCTTGACTGGCAAGGGCCGGACACGCACCTGTAATATGCTATATGGTTTCCGTGGCTTGGTGGCATCGTCGACATCGATCATCTTCCACTTCCGCCTTCACAATATACTTCAGGTAATTCCTTGTCGGAAGTACTTGGTCTTGGATAGCCACCATGAACCCCTCTGTTTCGGCAAAAATGTCTCCACTGTCTGAGCCACATATTAGAGGCGCAGCGGTCTACAGGTCTACACCATCACCGTCGCCGTCGCCGTCGCCATCGCCGTCATCGTTATCGTAATCATCATTATTATTATTAATATTCTCTAAAGCTGGATTACCACTGACTGACTGACTGAATCAGTGATTTAGATAATTGTTCTCCCAGAAGGAGTCGCGGTGGGTCAAAAAATGATGTACGAGAGTCGTGGTCGGATGGCTCCGGTGAGTCCGGATTTTTCGAAGGTTTCGAAAATTTTCTAGTAAATTTCGAAACCTTCGAAAAATAGACTGCCTCAGGTAGGACCACAGCTGCACGGCCAAAATATAATACCTACCGGAAGGGTCATCAAACTAAAAGTAGCCGCTTATAGCTCGGCGAGTATTGGAGATAGGCAGGAGGTGCTCGACCCAGCCGCACTCGAGCCAACACCGGGCCCCTCCCCGGCCCGAACCGCGCCCGCGGCCCAAGAAGACGGCCAAGAAGAAGGCCCCCTCGCCGAATGCTGCTGCCGCCCCTCCTGCGGCGACCAAGAAGAAGGCTTCCCAGCCGAAGGCTGCTGCCGCCCCTCCTGCGGCAGCCCTCGCCGCCTCTGGTGCGGCGGCCTCAACGGCCACCAACCAGGCGGAAACGCCCTGGTCGCAAGTAATTGGCCGCAGGGCCAGGAAGGGCAAAAAGACAGCTGCCGGCCCCCAGGCGGCACGGGGCTCCGCCAAAGCGACCCCCAGGACGGCCCCCAAACACAGGGCGCTCGCCACCCAGAAATCATCGGCGGTGGTGATCACCCTGAGGCCTGAAGCGGTGGCGGAAAAGGGGGCCACGTACAAAGGGGTCCTCGAGGCGGCGACCGCGGCTGTGGGCTTGGGCAGCCTCGGCAACCCGCACGTGCGGGTGGGGAACAACCAGACAGGTGCCCGCATAATCGAGGTGCCCGGGGCGAAGGCCGTGCAGCGGTGGGAAGGCCGACACCCTGGCGGCCAAGCTGGAGGAGGTGATCGGGGGGCTGCGGCAGTAACGCGGCCAACCAAAACCGCCGATATGAGGGTCACCGGCTTAAACGAGTCGATGACCCCAGAGAAGATCCGGACCGTGGTGGCCGCGAAGGGCTAATGCTCCCCGTCCCTTGTGAGTGTAGGAGCTATCAGGTTGGCGCCCAATGGGAGGGGGTCAGCACTCATTCGCTGCCCAGTAGCGGCAGCCCAATTGGTGGCGGCTACCGGCCGCCTGTTGGTGGGGTGGTCCTCTGCCGGGGTTCACGTGATGGAGCCTCTCCCCATGCGCTGCTACAAGTGCATGGGGATTGGCCCCACCAGAACCCTTTGCCCTTCCAGTGTGGACAGGAGCGGGCTCTGCTTCAGGTGTGGCCAAACCGGACACTCGGCCTCCGGGTGCACGACGACCCCGCGGTGCTCCGTCTGCACCGCGGTTCGCCGACCAGCGGACCACCTAATGGGGGGGAAAATCTTGCCCCCCACAAAGGGCAAGCCGGAGGGGACAGTTGAGGGACAGACTATTTACGAGTGGGCCAGCACGCCACCACACAATACTGCAGGGCAACCTCAACCACTGCGCCAGGACACAAGACCTATTGGTCCAGGTCATGGCGGAGTAGGGGGTTGCGGTGGCAGTTGTGGCGGAGCCATACTTTGTCCCCCCACGGGGAAACTGGGCCGGGGATCGTGAGGAGACGGTGGCCATAGTGGCGTCGACTGCCGGGAACTCCGCTCATCTGGTGGTGAAGGAGCGCGGTTCAGGGTTCGTGGCAGCGAGGTGGGGAGAAGTCACCCTAATTGGGGGGGTACTTCTCTCCAAGTCGCTCCCTGGCCCAATTTCAGGCGTTCCTGGAGACACTAGAGAGGGCGGTGAGGAGGGCAGCTCCAGCGCCGGTGTTGGTGATAGGGGACCTCAACGCCAAGAGCGCTGAGTGGGGTTCCCCGGTCACCAATGCCAGAGGGCCAGAGTTGGAGAATTGGTTGGCAGCCTTAGGGCTAGTCACCCTCAACCGGGGCCATGCCAACACGTGCGTTCGGCGAAATGGGGGATCAATCGTGAACGTCACGTTTGCGACCCCCTCACTAGCGGCGCGAGTATCCGGTTGGCAGGTCCTGGAGGACGAGGAGACCCTCTCCGATCATAAATACGTACGGATGAGGGTCTCCCATACGCCGCCCACGACGGCTTCCAACACGGCCCCCTACTTTCCCAAATGGGCACTCACCGACTTGGACTACGACGTGGTGCCCCCCAAACCATGGAGTCACTAGAGCTGGATCTCCTTAACCGGGTGGTGGAGGGCCTCTTCCCTGAACCGCAGCCCTTCACCCCGCCGGCCATGGTGCCCCCTAGATCAGAAGGGGGACAGACTGAGGAAACCCCCCCGGAAATCCACGAGGGGGAGATGGAGTAGGCGGTGGGACGGCTGCGGGGGCGGAAGAAGGCCCCCGGCCCGGACGGGGTACCGGGACGAGTCCTCCGCATTGCCCTGAAGCATCTCGGGACCCGCCTCAAGCAACTAATGGACGACTGTTTGAGGACGAGTTTGTTCCCGAGATGCTGGAAGGAGGGAAGGCTCGTCCTGATACCCAAGCCGGGCCCACCTGCGGACTCCCCTTCGGGGTTCAGGCCCCTCGTCCTGCTTGACGAGGTGGCGAAGATCAACGAACAACTGAGGGGGACAGGCCCCGATGTGTCGCAGCGGCAGTACGAGTTCAGGGCTGGACTCTCCACCTTGGACGCCCTGGAGTCGCTGCGACACATCGTGGAGGAGGCTAACGGTGAGAGGGAGGGTGTAGTGGATGTGTCTCTGGACATAGCCAACACCTTCGGCGTTATCAGGGAGGCGCTGAGGTACCACGAGATCCCCAGGTACCTCAGCCGTCTGGTGGAGTACTACCTGGAGGACAGGGTGGTGCTCTTCCAGACGAGGGAAGGGAGGCGTGCCGAGCGCCCAGTGAGGTGCGGAGTACCCCAGGGGTCCGTGTTAGGACCACTACTGTGGAACCTGGGGTACGATTGGATGCTGAGGGGTGAGCTGCTTGGACGGCCACCAGCGTGTCATCGGCGTACGCGATGACCACCGTCCGGGGGACCACTTTCCAGTCAATCGCGCTAATTGTCAACGGTAAAACCATAACCTTAAACCTCGCCAATGTGACACGTTGCGTACATTTCGTATCGCGCTAACTGTCAAAACAAAAACCAAAGCCAAACAAAAAGGAAACGTTAGACGTGTGACACGTTACGCACATTTGGTATCGCGCTAATTGTCAAAGGTAAAACCAAAAAGTAAAACCTTGCCAATTGGTATCGCGCTAAATATTTTAACGTTTTAACCACTTATGTAACCTTGGGAAAATGGATTTACCTTTGACAGGTTAACGTTTCTGTGGCAGTTAATGGAGAGTAACTTTTCACTACGTTTTCGTATATCAAAGATGTTCCACGGTTACTTAAATGTTTCGAAAAGTGTTTATAAGGTGGCTGTGGCCTAAGAACGGGCTTTAAATAAAAGAAAAGCATAGAAAGACGATCACATTTAACATATCTGAGGAGAAATTCCGCAAACGATATACCGTTTGTCCACGGAACGCATTTCAGGATTGGTGGAAGAACTATGTCTACATATTCCCGTTAAAGGACGGTCTGTTGCATTTGATGTGCAGACAAAGGTAAGGGTTAAGTGGAATCCGATAGTTCTCAGTTTTGCATAATAACCAAATTTCTATACTGTGTAAATCATTATTAATTTTGTTACAGATTTTAGTAGCTCGTATTGTTTTTAACAACTGAGGCGTACCAGACCCCCCATTGGCAAGTGCTTATCACCCGTTCCCAAGCCAGTGTCAGTAAGGCACAAGCGGTAGCTGCTTTAAATAAACCAGTTATTATGAATAAATATGCAGCTTTCCTAAATGGCATGCCGAAAGGGATGGTATTAAAAGGCGGTGAGAAAATAAGCTTTACAATGTACATCGTCTTTGTTAGATCTTGTCTTATATAAGATGATCTTATTATTATCAAATAAAAATTTTTGTTAAATATTCTATCAAAAAGGTTAACTGCGGGCACCAACTCGGTAATTGCTTTGCAAATGGCAGCTACGGATTGGGCATGCAGATCATCTGCTTTGGCAGAAATAATAGCTGCCTCAGCCTGCACCCTGCCAGCATTCACTTGCTGCAAGAATGCTTCACATGCTCGCAGCTCATCAATGCATAAGAATTCTACCCGGCTCTGCTCCAACGCTCATCAGCTCGCTGTCAACGAAATAATAGATGTGATATAATAAAGAGTGGGAAAGAATTTGCTCGAATTGAAAGTTACTTTGTTTTTTAATTAATAATAATAATAAAGAGTGAGAAAGTTACTTTGTTATTGAATTGTATGTTTGAAGTTATTTAGTTACTTTGGTGTCCTTTAGGAAGGTTGGAAGGGCCTCTGCCACAGTCGTTGCCGCCGTCGATGTGGCGTAGATTCTCACCCTGCTTTTCATACCATTTGATACCTGAATAACAAATAATAACATTGCATATTATAGTGATATGATTTTTGGTACAATAACGGTGAGTGACTCACTGTATCCTATTACCGCTCATTATGACTCACCTTTTGGGATCTATTGCGGGGCCACAAAATAGCCACACACTCGCACCAAAGGCGTGCTGATAACACGCGCGAACAATGCCGAGCGAAGTCATTCTCAAGCCAAATCTCTGTGCGATTCGAACTCCAGCAAAGACGGAGCTGGCTTACAGTGGTCGCTCGCCGTCCGACCGCATCCACATTGGCTGAAATACGAGCATCATTATTAATTCTACATTGCTAACATTTCGAAATTAATAGTAGTTAGCGTACCCATTTGATTGTATAAAAATATACTATTTTATTAAATAGATTATTAAAACAGGAAAACAATGTGTAGGTACTTGCCTCTGCATGTTTTATCTACAAGAACAACACTCTAAATTCAATTAACTTGGTTCAAATCACAACTCATATGTTTGTTTACAATAGAATTTTATGACATTTCTTTTACACACTTTTTTAAATCGCTCTTTTATAGACTTGAATTCGTAGATACTGACATTTCAGTGAGTTTTACCGTAAATTTTATCGGTTTTCAGGTAGTCAAGGCACGTCTCTTAACCTTTCATATGAGGTTATAGTTTTAGGTTTTGTTACGGTTTTGGTTTTGGTTAAACCTTTTAAATTGATAGCGCGATTGCATTTTGGCCATCGGTAAAACCATTTATTTACCAAAGCCAAAACCTGTACCGTTGAATGGTTAAGCCTTTCGAAAACAGCGCGATTGGCCCCAAGGAGGCGGCCCGAAGAGCCTCAGTAGCGGCGGACACGGTGGTCTGCCGAATACAATTGCTGGGGCTCGCGGTCGCCGTGACCGAAGACGGACGTGGCCGTCGGCGGGAGGAGCAGAGGTTGGGCGTCCATGCGCCCACATCTCCATCGCGGGAGTATCGATCCTGGTTAGGTCCCTGATGAAATGGGCCTTGTCCTGGACGGGCGATGGAATTTCGGGGAGCATTTCCGGCAACTTGCTCCCCGAATAGTGGGCGCCGCTTCGGCGTTGGGTCGGCTCCTGCCCAATCTCGGGAGGCCGGGAGCCCCATGGACGCCGGGGTGACACGAAGTATGGCCTTATGCGGGGCTCCCATTTGGAGTGGGGCCTTATCAGCGGCGACGAAATCGCTGCTGAGGAGGCCTCAGAGGGTGGTCGCCCTGCGAATGTGCAGGGCGTACATGACGGTCCGGGCGGCGTCGTGGTAAATGTTCACTGATCCCACGGCGCCGACTCAACCGGCGAGAGGGAAACCCGGGGGGGTTTTAGTGGGGTAGGCCCTCCAGCCTGGAGGGAGAGTCCCCACATAACCCCTGAGTCTCCCTGGGCTCAGGGGTATCCATAAAGATTTCCCCCTGACAGGTGGTCGCCCTGCGAATGTGAAGGGCGTACATGACGGTGGCCTGCGCTGCCGCATGCGTCCTCGCCGGTACTCCGCCGTGGGACCTCGAAGCCGAGGTCCTGGCGGAGGTCCGCACCTACCGGCGGGGAATGAGGGTCCGAGGCGAGCGCCCTGCTCCCCAAGAGGTCGAGC